TCCAGAAAATACATTTGACTTATTCTACATTATTCATTAATCTTTAAATGTGAGTGGTCTTCACTCACTTTAAAATGATGCAGGTTATTGCTTGAAAACAGTTTATTGCCTCCACCACTGCAGTATTTCTTCATGGCACTGATACACCACCATATATCAGATATAATGAAGATTAATTGTGAGCTACTGACAAGCCGTCATATTAGTTTTGGTCCCCACTGTGTAGTTGCGACTTTAAAGATACAGCATGATGTAATCAAAGTACATGAGCCCAGCCTTGTAACTCCCTGTTGATGCTGTGACAGTGCCTTAAGGGGCTTCGTAACACTCCTGGTGATATGAAATGATTCCATCCTTAGGAACTACAATTGATTCGATGGCTTCTTTAAAGACGCTCCGCAGAGTTATAAAGCAGGCACTGGAAATGCATAAACCAGGAGTAGGAAAGGGGGATCTAGCATGTTTTTAATCTGCAATGCTAGCGGGGGGATCTTCCATTACAGATGTCTGTGAGCTCTACTTCCACAGTAAATGAAGCAACTTTCATAACTTCATATTACACTCGTGAAGCAATCTATTCTAGGGCTATACATGCAACCTGAAAAGATGACGTTAAGCAGGAGCGTCAGTTATATTCAGTGTCTACCTTCACTTTTATCGAAAGGATGAGGATTTTGAGGACTGAAATGTGAGTTTGAAACCTCAGAAGCAGAGCCATGTGAGGCAGAGGCCACTAAAGTCAAAGGGGGGCGACACCAAACAGGAGAAATGTCATTTCCAGCCACGCAACAGCGCCATCACTCTCTCATTAAATGCATCAACAGTTTAAGCTGAATCAAACTATAATCCTCTAATGTGCATCTGTCTGTTCAAATGGACTCACTAACTGTCCCATGACACACTCTGGCACTCGCTCGCCAACCTGCTACACGCACACACACTAAAGGGGAGCATACACACTCTCTTTCGTGTGCTAGCACACTTTTAGGTGTCTTCAAGACAAACGCATTTGCATTTAATGAGATCATTTGTCATTTATGTTAATATGGCCCAAGAAGGTTTAACAACAATGTTTAATGCCACCTGTCAGTCTAAGCATTCTCATCATTTATTACCAGTCCTAGACATTGATTTAGCTGCCTGCTAATGAAGCCATTGTGATTCAGGATCAGTTAACGTTTGCAAGGACATCTGATGATGGCAGACAGCATGGCTATTATTAATGTGTTACATGATTTTCCAGGCATGATCCACTCTCTCTGTCTCTCTCTCTTCCGAAGACCAAGTTAAATCTTTATAAAAATCAGAGGATTTGAGTACAGTAGTACATCGCCGGTGTGTGTTAGTTTGACTGTGTGAGTGTGCTTCTGCTTATAATCAGGCTATCTGCGGCTCCTGGACCTGATTTTGTATGAAAGATGATGTGTGGTCATGTGGTCAGATAGGTGGATGTATGACGGGGTTTTAGGATTTGTTTTCTATGACCTACCCTCCCCCTCACCAACACCCATCTGTCCAGCTGACCAATGGGTGGAAGGCTCGGTGGATCAGACTCTCTTGCCAATAGATCGCTAATCCTCATCTGAGCATGCTCACTGACTTATCTGGGGCAGGGACAAGACAAAGGATGCCACTACTACTATGACATGCTGCTCTACCCATAAGTCTGTAGTATTTTTAAAGATGCATCATCTGTGGCAGGTCAGACTATGGTCAGAAACATCTTATTCTAAATGTCAAATCCGACCATAAATAATTTGATCTTTTATCTGGATGTTGGATTTTCAAATTCCCAGTCTGAAGTTTAATGTACAAAAAACTGTGGTTGTTTTATTACTTTTAAGTCAGGACAAGTGTTGATATTACCTGTGTTTAAATATAACCTTTCAATGCTTCGTCAAACGCAGTTGAGTATGAAAGTGGATGATGGACAGCTTATACTACTGAACAGGAACAATCAGTTTCAGAGATGATATATTACAGTCAAAAGACCTTCACAACACAGTATGATCAAACCTTTTTTGTCTGTGTATCAGTGAGTGCATGTGCAAACTGCAATGGCGGCCACTGGGTGAGAATAGAACCTAAGACCTCAGATCCCCGGGAGGAGAAGCTGGGGAAGACGATGATTTATGGGTTTCTCTGAACTGCACCATATGCCCGCCATAAATCTAAACGTACACACAGACACACACATAACATGGGCGTGCTCATATCAGGGTCAGGTTAAAGCCAAAATACACCTATACACACCTAAGATAAGAGGCACACGAATAAAACTTACCAGTCTGTTGGTTTGTCGCCTAGAAATAGGCAGTTTTCACTCCTATTTGATTTGTTTCTACCTGTGTGGTGTGTTTTTAAACCATGAATGATTCAGTAAATGTGCATTGAGAATTTCTTGTGTTTTAGTGTAATATCCAGGATTATAAAAGCGATTTCTGATCATCAATATGTGTAATCTTCTGAGTAGTTGAAACTGGAATCTCTTAAAATGAAATATTGCTTTTTATAGCTCATCAGTAACTTTTAGTTAAAACTTTCATATGTCTGTGTTTAAAGTTTCGATTTTCGATGGTGAACGTCGACCTTCACAGTGGACTCTGAAAGGCCTACAAAGAGTGCTGGTATGATGTAAAAGCTTCTGTCAGGACCTCCTGAATCGCAGCTAATCATTGAATTCTTTGCCCGCCAAACAGCAAAAGTGCTTCGCTGTTAAAAAAAAACACACCTAATGGATTCCCTCAACCAAACAAACAGAGTCTGACAACATCAGTTTTCCAGCTCCTCCCTTGTTTTAAGTGCTTTCCTGTTGCAGTGTTGCTGCTTACTGAGATGGCATGTTTAAATTTAGAATGAGGGCAAACTGGGCTTTAAGGACCACTTTACTGCACATTGGGGCAGCTGACAGAATCTGTTCTTATCCATCCTGGCTGGTTGAAAATCAGTCAGTCAGAACAAATAAAGTCTGAATGTCCATGCTGTTTGACGACCTTGCTCTCGAGACAGGACAATCCACATGTAACATTAATGTCGGGGATATAAATAGCCGAGGAAACGATCAATGTAAGTCTTAAAGCCTCCAGTAAGTTGCAAGATGAATTATGTATTCTTTCTACTCTGACACAAACACCCCGCCTGTCAGAGTTTATAAGCACACACATATTAGACGTGTCATAAGTGTGGAGAACAACCATGCTACAGTGCAACTGCATCATTTGATCAGCTGGTGAGGGAAGAAAAATTCACATTGCTTTCTCAAGCGTAGCATGACCGGCGATTTTTAAAAATTTAATTATTATTGTGTTGCACGCACAACATGAAGAGCACTTCAAATTCTCTTTTACGACATGTTTTTCATTGAATTAATCGTGTAATTTCTATTTGCACGAAACATTTTCCCATAAAATTGATTTTCTATTGATAACTCTAACAAGAAAAAACAGGTTACTCAGAATGTGAGATGAAGCGGGGCTGACTGTCAGGTAGACTGAGTCGGCTTGTTCCACCTCGAGGCTGAACTAACCAGCAACTGTCTTCAACACCAAGTCTGAGAGACAGATAACACGGTGGTGTCAATCACCATGACCAAAATACTGAAATGTATCTTCAGGAGATATTGGCAAAATAAATGTCAGACTTTGCAAGGAAGTGGAGCAGAGGGATCTGGCTCAGGTTTGGCTTGATCAAAAACAGTTTTCTAGTACTGCCTCATGATCCCCCCCCCCAAAACACCAATTTCTTTCTTTTTTAAACTGATTTTTCCACAGTGTATGCAACTGTCACAAAAAGCAGGTAATTACGGCTGTCAACTGCATTCACGAGAGCGCGAGCAGAGCCACATGTTTGCTGATGTGTAGTGGACTGAAAGCATATGGCTGCACATAATAGGGTTAGGCATCCTGAAGATTTTTACAGCATTAAGTAAATGTGCTTAGTTTCATTCTACTCTGCTTAGGCTAAACTACTTTTCCACACCCTTCAGAGGAACTCCATTAGGGTCATCGGTAAAAGCCGGAGACCTTTCAGCCTCATTGATGGTAGCGGTTCCTGTTGCCTCACTCTTATGCACCCCCCTTCGATCTGAGCTTCAACTCCATCGTCACCCTTAGTTTTGTCTTCAGCTTCTGGGGCAGTAAGCGTTTAGATGAAGCTGGTGTCATGGCTGAAAGCTGAATTTGACAGGAGTCAGGAGCTGGACCACTTAACCTACAACCAACCCATCAGCAAGAATAAATCATATCCATTATTTTTTCCAAATAACCACACAGCCACGTGTAATTATCTGAGATGGCCCTTTAAAAGCAAGCTTCTGCAGTGCAGACCGATTGCTCAGTCTATTCATGCATCAGCTTTTTACTGTTGGGCCATGTGGAGAAAAGCCCAGTACTGTCGGGGTTGATGTTGCCACTTTGCCGATCGTTTCTGTCTAACAGCTCGGAGGCTGAGAGCCTCTCTACAGAGAGAATCCCTAATCAAATTCCCTTTCATTCCTGCCTCCCCTCTCTCTTCACCCGGAATCACACTGCATTACAACACACTAACATATGCCCGCATCCCTCTCTCCAATTCTTCTCTCGGTCTCGTTTCTTTCTCTTTCGGCTCTTTTTTGCAGCTCCATCCGCCAACGGATGGAGTTTACACCCTTTTTTTTTAATCGCATCCCTCCTCAAATCACCAACAGGACCGTTGTCAGTCTAAATTTTAGGAAGCAGAACTGTGGAAGAATTCCTCCTGTGCAGGTTAATGTGATGTGCTGTGATGAAAGGACATGGCGACAGAGAACCCTATTAATAATGAAGCACATAGGGCCCAAACTGCCGCACTGAGAGAAATGTGGGAAAAAAAAGAGAACCGAGTGACTACAGAGCCGGTGGAACATCACAGAGATGGGTGGAGTTTTGGAGAAATACAGATTGAGATGTTTGGAAATGAAGCAATAAAAAAAACACAATATAAAAAGTAGAATCTCTTCTACTTTGCTTTGCATTGTTACTCACTGGAACCAGAGGGAGAGCCGGCAATTGTACCTGAAACAGAGAAAGAAAAAAGGGGAGGAGATGTTTATTTATGCATTCAGTTTGCCTAAAGACTTGACTCTGCCTCTTTCATCAGTCAGGTGGAGAAGAGAGCTGTTCAGCAGAATAAGGGTTTGCTGGAGACCTCCTCTCAGTGTCCCAGAGTAATTACTCTGCCTACGCCCCCCACTCAACATTTTACCTCTTTCAACCCGCTCTTATTCAAAGACCCCTCATCACATATGTAACTTTAAAGGGAGCACCACCACTTTGCTTCGCTTGAATAAAAACTTTTTGCTTTTCTTGCAAATTCCTCCGGATTGTACTTATAGTTAGCCTTGCTTGGCATGCATTATGCAATCTGTGGGGACCAAACCCTTTCCCCAACCAAGGCTATTTTGAATAGCATTTCAACAGAGTTGCAAACATTTAAATTTTTAAATGCCACTAATGGGATTCATGAGCTTTAAAAGGCTGGCGATGGGCTCTGAATGTGTGTGCTAGTGCCATTAGAACTGGGTTAGAAACAATACCATGGCAAAGAAAAAGGCTGACAATAGAGCCTTTTTTCTGCAGGTACAGATGCTCATGTGTGTGCATTTCTGCCCCTGGTTTCTGTGTGTGCACGAGTCTCCCTCTGCATGCCCGTGTTTCTGTGTGAGCGGAGAGAACTTGGGAGGGGCTGTCCTAGATTATTATTTTATCATAGCTAGCTACTGTAGCAGGCTGCACTCTGCAAAAGGATTTCCTCCCCGCACATTCCCCCGCTGTTACACGCCTCTGATCCGCTCTGCACTGAGGTGACAACTTGGAGAGCTCTGTGTGTTCATCGTCGTCTTTCAGCTCACTCTTCTATTTCAACTTGGTCCTACTTTTCATTCATAAGCTCAAAATCAGGACAGAACACCTACATATATCAGTCAGGACATTTGGAAGAACTCATTCAATATGTAAAACACGCCAAATAGACTCTAAGAATTTAGCAGATATGAAACATATTCCTCATCAATACATGGATACTTCACACATGCTCACATACATCAGGTGCACAATAAAAGAGGTGCGTGTTGGATCTACAGTAACTGTGCCAGCATGAAATATTCGACGGGCTTAAGAGGAAACACACTAGCATGCACGTACAGGTGTTGGGGGTTCCGGTGGGTGCGGGCAGGTAGGAGCCTGCTTTCCAGGACTTGGCTTTGAAGCCCTTCTTGCATCGCTGACAGTCCTGGCCGGTGGTGTTGTGCTCGCACTGGCATTGGAGGTTCCCATCGATAAGCAGGCACTGGGAGGCATGGAGGTTACACTTGCACCTTAAAAGCAAAGAGAGGAGACAGTTATAGATAGACGCTCATGCAAGAGAGAGAATCCAACTGATGTGTTAGAGCAGTGTTAAGGAGGAAAGGTTTTGAAGGAGTATAATAATAAATACAAAGGAGACCTTTGATATCTCAAGGTCTGAGAGCTTTACCCATTTTCTTATGTCTTCTACATGCTAGCTGTATCACCCTGTCTGCACAACATTTGATCTCAGAATAGGATGATAGCCTTTTTTATTACATTTTCCAGTGTTTCTTTGTGTCTTGGTTCCTGTAAAGTATCACCTAATGATCAATTTATCTTTTGGTTTCAAATTCTTTCAGTGGGACACGGCTTGAAAAGGTGCACCTGTGACTTTTTGAAATAAAAATAACTTTCTGTTCCTCATCCAAAGGGATGTGCTCTCTCCTCCACTCCATTACAAACTGACCCTTTCGAGAAGTAGTTGAGGAATTTCAAAAGGCCATACTTTATACCAGAATTCTATGACCCTTTCCAAAGGATCCCGTTTGTCTAGAGTGTGTCTCTTATGGGCGGGAAATGAGGGCAAATACAGTGGACATAAGATGTCTTTACGTTTAGTATTCAATATGATAAACCGTTTACTGTAACACTGGCTTGGATTGAATTGAATAATTGTTTGCAATTACTGCCTTTCAAATTCATTTTTCACTGTGTGTGCTTGCACTCGTGCACACTTGAACCTCAGCAGAGAGTAGGGCCCAGGTGGGCTGATTGAGACGCTGAAATTTCGCCAGGAAGGGAATGAGGATCTTAAGGACACTCCGCCAGCATGACTTTAAATTACAGCCTTCTCCAGATGAGCGACTGGACTCCAATCCAGTTTGTTCCACTGGAGTGAACAGCGATCCGTCTGCATCAAATATTCAAAGAACGGCCTTTGTATTCTGGTGTGATGACTACTTCAATCTTTTCCTTTTCACAATCTACGGTGCACTTTTGTCTTTTTTTTCTTCCTTTTTGGAGGGCGGGCGCTAGGTCAGCCCATCAAACACAACCCAAGTTTAGCAACACGGCATACAAAACAACGAAGACGGATACTCGGAATCAAATATTCACGAGAAAAAATGGAGCCAGTTGATCCGTAGTCGTGTTGCGTATCATGAGGTTGCGCGCGGTTTCTCTCTCATCACTGATGGGCTGACGAGACGAGCCGGGGAAAAAAATCCATCCATCCAACCTACCGGGGCCTTTTTCAGCTGCTCGCTTTCTGAAGGACGCGAGCTGTCCACTTAGCGAGCACCGAAACTGAACATCTCTTTCCTGGAGAAGACTGTGCGTGCCCGTGTGTGTGAGTGAGACGCGCGTCAGATGGGACAGGTGTGAGTGTGTGTGCTCGCCCGGTGTGATTATGCGTTGATGCATTTGTCTGAGAGCAGCGCTGACAGACAACAGATCAGAGAAGCAGACGTGCGGTGACTAATGCCGGCGCTGAGTGACGGACAGGGCCCAAAACGCATCGCTTCTTTTCATCTCCTGCATGTTCGCTGATAAATCTCATCTGTTCGGTCCTGCAAGTGGAAACGCTGGTGGGCGCAGGATCTAGGAGTTGTAGTTTAAATCAATACTTGGGAACAAAGTGGTTTTCGAGGTATGGTGCCAGGCTGTTTGTCTCCAAGACCTAATGGATGCCCCACACTAGGAAACCGGGTCTCAGATTTGTAAATTATCTTAAAACCTGATATACCACAGGCTGAATTTAAAGCCGTTTTGTTTTGTTTTTGATGATTTAATCAGACATCGGTCATACGGCCTTGCAGGTAGAAACTTGACGGGGCGGGTTTTCTCCTTAACCTGCTTTTTCTGACCTCCACCTTCCAGCACAATCCATGAAGACCATGAGTACTTCTAGCCTTGCACTCCTTCCGCATGAACGCTGTGACATTCTGACTTCTGAAGTATGTCTCTTTGCTCTGCCTCTTTCCGATGACAGCCTGCTCTGGGAGTTTTCCCTAACCCTCTTTTCGTTCCCTCCGCACACAAATAATACATGGGCACAATCATATGTTAATGTGCAAGATGTCTGCCTTCGCTGCAAAGTCATCAAAGCAGAAGTAGCAGCTATGAGCTGAAGGAAGCTATGACGGGACAGCTGCATCTGTCAGTCCTGTCTGTGTACTAAGACAAGGAAGGAAGGAAAATAAAAAAGAGAGAAGGAGGATGAGACAACAGAAAAGGGCAAACGCATTTAGGAACGGGGGGAGAATGAGAGATGTAAATTCATTCCAGTCTGAATAAGAAACTCCTTACTTGTAGCGGGGATAATTAGCGGCTGTAATTATGGGCTAGTGTTTCTCTTCATTAGGTGGAGTTTCTGTGCCAGTACCGTGGAGCACTTTGAATCTCTATTTTTCTCTTTGGTGCCTCCACAAGTATGCAAACATGTGGAACATCGAGCGGTTTTGTGTGATCTCACTGAAGTAAAGGCACCAGCACACTTCTATACGCTTTGAGTATATCCTGAAGCAAAGATCTAGCAAACCTGGATGGAACTGATACAGTAAAAAACTGGCAAAAAAATGCATTCATTCAAAATCTCAACCTTATGCGAATATTGAAGGTATTTATATTGGTTGTTGGCTACTTCTGACCATGGCCCCATAAGCTGTGAACAGGCACCTTTAAGTTTATTTTAAATTTGTCATATATTTTCATTCTGCATTTAATAAACTCTAAAGTCACTGCTCTTTCTTAGGTGAGTCTGTGTTCAGCACATAAGTTGACACGTTCAAAACATCCATGACACTATAAAGGTTAAGAAATCCTGACGAGGCAATTTTTTAAATTTTAATGGCATGTCTTTTGTAAGGCACGTGTCATCCAAAGTGATGTGAACCCTTTAAGGCATCGTATAACACATCGTGTAACTATAAAGCAGATGCCAAAACCCAACAGCTCACGACTGACAGGGAAATGGGAAACTGTGCCGTTGTTGTCCGACATCGGTTGGACCGATGGGACTGTAAATTGGTTTTCCTGCCTGACACTCTGTGGTGCAACACCTCCGTTTAGCGCTTGCACTCTTCTCGTAAGCTTTATTTTTCATGCTATGGAGCAATTTTACATACCCTCGACGTTTCAATTTGTAAATAAAAAAGCAGGAATGCAGCATTTTGAGAATTAAATATGTAGAAATATAAGAATTCTTTGCAGGTGTAGGAGCATTGTGACTTTAGAAGTGCACTGATTTAGCTATTGCACACTTTCTTATGTGAGACTTTGTTGCTGTGTTTCTCTGTCCAGTCCCTCTACAGCCTGCTTAAAGTCGCGTTGGCTCTCAGTGTTTAATGATTCGGGACTACTTGCTTTAGACAGCAGAGACGCAGCAATTAGGAGGATAAATAAGAAGAAAGATAAACAAACATCAAGTGGGAGTCGTGTGGTGGCGGAGCCTGAAAAAGCAGCTGGAGGCAGCAGTTAATGGGGTTTTATCTCTCTTTACTGTAGTTGACATGTATTCCTCTATTCCTCATCAGGGACACAGTTATCACTCCTCCTGTTTTCCTCCTCCCACTGATTTTCTTTCCACTTCCTTCCCAAATTCCATTGACTGTGGTTCTCCTCCGGTCTCTCTCCCTTTGCGATTTTCTTTCCCTCCACCGTCTCTGCCTCTCTCACCTCCCTGTCAGTCTATACCATACCCTATTAGCTCTTCTGGTTCTGCTCATTGCACCAGTGTTCACTGAGGAGAACAATGGGTAAATTGGGTTTGCGGACATGTGTGTGAAAAAGAGTGGAAAGAGGAGAAAGGAGGGATATAGATGATACAGGGGGGCTTAGCAGTCAGTACATCAGAGATTAGGGCCGCTGTGTCAGAGCCATGACAGTAGGCCTGCCTCTCCGGCTTTGCTGGTGAGGCTCAGAAGGAGCAGGAGGAGGGTCTACGTTGACACGCTCTGACCTGTTTTGGCAGCGCGCATCGAGGCAGCTTCGACCACACGGGAGGGCTACCCTCCTCTGACTCGGTGTTCGATCAACCGTCACTGAAAAGGACCATTCCACACTCGCAACAGTTTCCTCGCTACGAACAAGACCATTCCCGACTGACTGCTCAGTCTGGTTGGGGGAACTCCGGGGGGAGAAGCCTAATGGCAGCAGATTGTCATGGTTTTAGTTGGAAAGGGGGAGGCTTAACAGGCAAACCAGGACTGGATGAGGAAATTTTGCTCATCCATCCATCAATTCTTTAAGCCAACTTTAGGGAGCAACCCCTTTACCCACATTTCCTCAGCCAATTATGAACATGCATATCTCTGCACAGAAGAAGGAAACAAAAACACCATTTTATTTAAAAAACTGGGTTCTGTATTTAAAAACTTGACTTACACTTGACTTGTATGTAGGATGAGGACTTTAACTTTGATTTTCTATAACTTAGGGCTCCATTAGATAGGCTTTGTATGATGCATTGTTCTTTTTATTCTTAATTGGTTCTTCTTGACTGTAAGATTAAAGTGCCAGTTTATAACATTTAGTTTGATTTACTGGCAGAAATGCTGAAGAATATGCAGAACATTTATTTATCAGGAGATGAATTGCATTAAAATGAAGATCCTGTGATTGTAGTTTTGAACACATAAATTGGCTTTAGTCAGAATAAACTGATTTCTGCAAAACACTGCAGCTGAGGTATTGTATTTGCCTTAATCAGCATCGGGTTGGGAGAAGACACGTAGCTCTCTGATGCTCTCTGAGTATCCAAAGCACAGCTGAAAGTGACCAAACAGGGGATGGGAGCTGCACAAAGCCGAGATCATTGATCAGCAGCACGCCTTATTGGCTTCGGCTGAAGTCTTTATCACCACGTCCCCTCCCACTTCCTCTCCCGCCTCGCCTCGTAAATTCAGAGCAGCTAATTGGACATGACTGCGTTTATGTTCCAGCTTCATAAATTTCTTTCTCTGAAGGGAGAGGATCGATTTTCCTCAAGTGCAGCCTTCCGTGGCAGCACGAGGCTCCACCTCACCTCCTT